GTCTTCACAAACACTTCACAATTACTTGTCTTTTGCGGAGAAGACATCCTCTGATGAAGGACTGGATCACAAGCGCACAGTTGGTTCTGCGTCTCAACTCCTGAAACAGACATTAATGGATCAGTTGAGTGGAGTCATTGTCTGGATGTGCACTCATGTCATACCTCCCGATGGCGTCTCTCTTCTGCCGCTTTTTCCAACAATTGCTGTCTTTTGGTCTGAAATGAGAGGCAAAGTGAGTGTGCGATGAGTTGATCATAGGATGAGATGAGTGGTCACGTCTTACGTCTTTGTGAGTTCCGCCCAAAGACTGTTGAGGTCTTCGTCGGAAGTCTCCGTCAAAGTATCCAAACATTTGCGAACAATTCAATTGCCAGTCATTGGAGTCATTGCCAGACAGACACTCACTCTCTGTTCAGTCCATGCAATCCAACACTCATTCAAATGACTCTTCATTTCATTCATTTGTTTTGCTATTATTTCCACAATAAATGACGCTTTCGTTCACTCATTCACTGCCTTTGCATTGCAATTGGATTCACAATTGGATTCAATTGGATTTGCATTCAATCGGATTAACACTTAAATGATACACACGTTTAAGAAGTTGTAATTGCCATCAATTGGCATCACTTGGGCTCAGTTGCACTCATTCACCAATTCATTATACAATGCAATCATTTATTATAAATTATAATTCAGTTCACTTCAATACCTCATTTTTATTATACAATTACAATTATACAATTCATTACATTATAAATTAGCTACATATAACTCTAATTGCTATCTATAAATTTAATTGTATTGTATTTAATAATCATTACAACTACTGTATATGATATCCTACAAATCTCTCTCTCTCTCTCTCTCTTCTCTCTCTCTCTCTCTTCTCTCTCTCTCTTCTCTCTCTCTATTTTTAGCGTCAATAGGAATCTAACAGAATATGTGTTATGTTTTTATCGGATGAGAAAATTAAGCAAAACTAATGAATGAGTCGATGAATTGGTGGAGACATCCACTCAAGACATGC